TTTCAAAATTGATTTAACTTTTAAAAATAAATACTCAAACAGTTAAAAGATTACCATAAGCACACCTTTGTTTTTAAATGATTTTTTTTTCAAAATTGATTTAACTTTTAAAAATAAATACTCAAAATATATCTATTAGATAAATAATAAATACTAAATAAAGTGGGTTATTGTTTACCAATAAGATTTCATTTAATATCTTAAATCAAATTAAAAAATATATAAATTAATAATAGACTTCAAATAAAATACGTCATAATAGATTATAAATTTCAAAGATGCTAAACTCATATTAATTTTTTAATTTAATTTTTAATAATTAAATAGTAAACTTCAAACTAAATTATACACATGTTTAGTTACCCCTTATTAAATACGGGGGTCATTCTCTATTAGTGTAGATGAAAAGATGAATATAGAGAAAGCTTCTAAAAAGATCAAAACCGTCCACCAAACTGACCTGGCAGACCACATATATCTCCAGGTTGACCTTTACATATAAATGGACAACGTTACTGTTATTACATGACAAGTAACCAAAAATCTCATAACTCGGTCTTGTCCCGTGTAAAAAGAAAAAGAACGAAGGGAAAAACACAAGCTGTCAAATGTGGCTATATCAGCCTACTCATTCTTCTTCTTCTTCCCAATATAATGGCAGCGGTGGTGGTGGAGCTGAGCCCAAGTGATCAGAGTCAGAAATGAAGGAGGTCACAGTGATTGTAGCAGGAGTCGGACCGTCGGGACTGGCCACCTCCGCTTGTCTGAACGTCCTCTCAATCCCCAACATTGTGTTGGAGAGTGAAGATTACTTTTCTTCCTTGTGGATGAAGAAGACTTAAGATTGCCTCCACCTCCACCTAGCCAAGCAATACTGTGAGCCTCCACACATGCCATTCCCCATTGTTGGGAAATGGGGTCACTGTAACTTTGGAGGAGAAGCTCTGAGGCGCGTCTGGAGACACCGTCTTTAGAACGTTATTTGCCCCCACTCAGTTTCACTGAGTTTGTTGCTGGGTTACAGGCAAATCCATTCTCAAGATACAACAGAGCCTTGGGCGAGAATCTACAACCAGCAAAGTTGAAGAATCTCCGAAGAAACCTTCTGTGAGACTGTAGCAGACCAGATTGAGAGAGAGAGATAGAAAGTGGATTTCGAAATGTGTGTTTTTGAAGTTTGATTCATGCTCCTTAAATAGTTTATGAAGAGGTATGAAGAAAAGGTGGGTGTTGGTTCAGGGAAGGCACCTTGAACAGTCACAATTTCAAACATTGTGATTGTTTAAAAAGTAGTTAACAGTTAATGACTGTTAACTTTGAATTGTGCCTCTTGATCACACCCGATCGAATCGTGACCGTTGATCTAATCAATGGTGATCAACGGTCAGCATCGCACCAAAACCAAAGCCGCCCTTTGCGAGCCACGCAGGTGCGCGCGAAGTGCGAGTGCCTCTAAGTTTAGAAGCCTATAAGCCTTGCTATATTCTGCATATCCAACAAACATACTTCTCTTAGCTCTGAGTCATAACTTGGTTCTTTTAGGATTTGGAACTCTATAATACGCTAAGCACCTCTACACTTTTAGATATGCTAAATTAGGCTTTTTCTTGCCCATAATTCATATGGGCATTTGTTATTAACTCTAGAAACAATTCTATTATGTAAATGGAAGGCTGTTAAGAGTGCTTCCCCCTACAGGTTTAAGGGTGCATTAGTTTTTAACAACATGCAGTTTATCATTTCTAGAAGTGTTCTATTTTTCCTTTCGGCCAGGCCATTTTGTTGAGGGGTATAGGGAGCAGGACATTGATGTATTATTTCAAATTCTTCACAGAAAGAATTAAACTCATTTTTAAAGTATTCAACACCTTTATCACCTCTAAGGATTTTAATTTTATTTTCTAGTTGATTTTCAACTTCAGTCTTGTACAGTTTTAACATGTCAAAGGCTTCATCCTTAATTGTCATAAGGTAGACATAGGTGTACCTAGAAAAGTCATTTATAAATGTTATGAAGTATCTCTTACCTCCTCTAGTTAATACACCATTGAGTTCACAGATGTCAGAACGAATTGGTTCTAGAAGTTGAGAATTTCTCTCAACATTAGGAAAATGTTTTTTAGCCATTTTAGATTTTACACATATCTCACATTTTTCAGTTGATTCATTACTGTAAGCAATTATACCAAGTTTGTTCATGTTCTTTATGGATTTAAAATTCAAGTGTTCTAATCTATCATGCCATAAATAGAAATAATCAACAATATAAGCAGAAACTTTTCTTTCATTAATACTTAATTTGAACATACCATTACAACAATATCCCTTTCCAACAAACATCCCATTCTTGGATAAGATTAGTTTGCCATATTCAAAGACAATTTTGAATCCCCTCTTACAGACAAGAATTACTGAGACCAAGTTCTTTCTAATGTCAGGGACATGGAGAACATTCAGGAGAGTCAGTGTTTTCGCAGAGGTAAAGTTCAACTTTACGTTGTCTCTTCCAACAACTTTGGCACATGTTTGGTTTTCCATCTATACATCTTAGCCATCAGTCACTTCTTCATATGTCTTGAACAAGGACTTGTCTTTGCAAACATGGACTGTGGCGCCTGAATCAAACCACCATCCAGAAGACGATTCTGCCATGTTGACTTCAGTAATCATGGCCACTAGATTGTCTTCTACCATGTTTGCAGACTTGGTTTCGCCTTTTCGATGTTGTCAAACTTGGGCATAATGCCCCTTTTTTCCACAAACATAGCATGATCATTCTTCTTTACTTGTAATGCATGGTTAGTCTTGTTCGATCCGTTTTCCACAAAATTGACCTTAGAGTTCAGCATACCGGCCAGGGTCTTATTCCTACTGTCTCTAATCCGAGAGTCTTCTTCAATACGAAGGTGTTGCTGAATTTGCTCCAATGTAAGTTCTTCAGCCTTGTGCAGAAGCTTCTTCTTGTAATCCTTCCAAGAGGGTGGAAGTTTGGCAATGATTGTTCCCACTTGGAAAGATTCAGGGAGGATGATGTCAAGGGATCGAAATTTGTTGACTATCACCTGTAGTTCATGAACTTGCTCCACTATGGGTTTATGGTCGTTCATGGTGAAGTCAAAGTATTTTGCAATAAGATACTTATTCGTACCTGTTTCTTGCACCTTGTATTTGAATTTCAAGGCCGTCTAGATTTCTTTTGGAGATGTAAGTTCCTTGTAGAAGTTGTAGAGCCGGTCTGATAAGGCATTCAATATGTGTCCTCGACACAAAAGTGAGTCATCTTCTCGTTTTGCTCTTTCCTTCTTTAGTTTTTTTGAGTCTTTGTTAGTGGGTTCAGGAAGTGATTGCAGATTCGGGTCCAACAGATAGTATAGTTTTAGTGTGGTAAAAAAGAAGATCATCTTGTCTTGTCATCGGTTCAAGTTTGCTCCATTGAACTGGTCTAGTCGAACAAGATCTTGGTTCATCATCTTGATCAAAGTCATGCTTGCTTCCATCTCCATTGTAGAATAACGTCATAAATTGTTGGGAAATGGGGTAACTGTAACTTTGGAGGAGAAGCTTTGAGATGCGCCTGAAGACATTGTCTTTAGAACGTTATTTGCCCCCACTCAGTTTCACTGAGTTTACTGTTGGGTTACAGGCAAATCCGTTCCCATGATACAACAGAGCCTTGGGCGAGAATCTACAACCAGCAAAGTTGAAGAATCTCTGAAGAAACCTTCTATGAGACTGTAGCAGACCGGACAGAGAGAGAGAGAGAGAGAGAGAGAGAGAGAGAGAGAGAAAGTGGATTTTGAAAATGTGTGTTTTTAAAGTTTGATTCATGCTCCTTAAATAGTTTATGAAGAGGTATGAAGAAAAGGTGGGTGCTGGTTCAGAGAAGGCATCTTGAACAGTCACAATTTCAAACATCGTGACTGTTTAAAAAGTAGTTAACAGTTAATGTTTGTTAACTTTGAATTGTGCCTCTTGATCACATCCGATCGAATCGTGACCATTGATCTCATCAATGGTGATCAACTGTCTGCATTGTACCATAATCAAGTGTGCAGGTGCAATTTTTTATGTAATTGACCAATGAAACCCATTGGATTTAATCTCTTATGATTCCCCGTACTTAATATTGGGTCATTTGCTAGTATATATTAAAGGAAGGTCTTTAGGCTATAGCCCCCCATCATTTAGACAAGTGGCCTTTTCATTTCCTGGAAAACTAAACATGTGACAATTTTTGAGAAATTCCTATTAAATCCCATAACCCACTACAAGGCTACAACCCCCCACCATTCAAATATGTGGCCTTTTCATTTTTCTAGAAAGCTTGTGGCATTTTCTGAGAAGTTGATGCTAAAGCCCACAACCCACTACAAGCATTTAGACATGTGGCATTCTATTAATTCAAGAAATATGATTAAAAAAGTGGGTAGTTTCACCGCTAAACATTCTCAAACAATTATTTATCAGCTTAACATATGTTTATCCATAGTCTATTAAATACAAATAGTGGGACCAGTTAAAAGATTACCATAAGCACACCTTTGTTTTTAAATGATTTTTTTCAAATAAAAAATACTTTATTAATTACGAAATTGATTTAGCTTTTAGGAATAAACCTAATTTAACTTTTAAAAATAAATAAATCAAAATAGATCTATTAGATAAATAGTAAATGCTAAATAAAGTGGGTTATTGTTTATCAATAAGATTTCATTTAATATCTTAAATCAAATTAAAAAAATATATATTAATAGTAGATTTCAAATAAAATACATCGAAATAGATTATAAATTTCAAAGATGCTAAACCCATATTAATTTTTTAATTTAATTTTTAATAATTAAATAATAAACTTGCACGGCAAGTAACTCTAGTAGTGTAGATGAAAAGATGAATATAGAGAAAGCTTCTAAAAAGATCAAAACCGTCCACCAGACTGACCTGGCAGACCACATATATCTCCAAGTTGACCTTTACATATAAATGGACAATTACTGTTATTGCACGGCAAGTAACCAGAAATCTCATAACTCGGTCTTGCCCCGTGTAAAAAGAAAAAGAACGAAGGGAAAAAACACAAGCTGTCAAATGTGGCTATATCAGCCTACTCATTCTTCTTCTTCTTCTCAATATAACGGCAGCGGTGGTGGTGGGGCTGAGCCCAAGTGATCAGAGTCAGAAATGAAGGACGTCGCAGTGATTGTAGCAGGAGCCGGACCGTCGGGCCTGGCCACCTCCGCCTGTCTGAACGTCCTCTCGATCCCCAACATTGTGTTGGAGAGGGAAGACTGCTTTGCTTCCTTGTGGAAGAAGAAGACTTACGATCGCCTCCACCTTCACTTGGCCAAGCAATACTGTGAGCTTCCACACATGCCATTCCCCACCACCTTGCCCACCTTTCCGTCCAAGAAGGAGTTCATCCAATACTTGGACGACTACGCGTCTCGTTTCAAGGTGAATCCAATTTACCATCGATCCGTCGAGTCGGCCACGTTCGACGAATTCACCAAGAAATGGCACGTCAAAGTGAGAAACACGGGCTCTGGCGAGGTGGAGGATTACGTCGCTAGGTTCCTAGTCGTCGCCACTGGCGAGACCAGCGACGCCTATGTGCCGGAGATTGAAGGCCTGGGTACCTTCAGAGGAGAGATTCTGCACTCCACCCAATACAAATCTGGGGCGAAATACAAAGGCAAGAGTGTTTTGGTAGTTGGGTGCGGCAACTCTGGCATGGAAATCGCTTTTGATCTAGCCAGTTCTGGTGCCAACCCCTCCATTGTCGTTCGAAACCCGGTAAGTCGTCAGAGATCTAGATAATCACCACCTGATCTACAACCACCCCATGAATGATGGATTCAGAATTCTTCTTTTGATCAAATCCGATTACCATTTGTCTTGACTAGGTTCACATTCTCTCAAGGGGTATGGTGTACCTGGGCTTGATCTTGCTGAAGTATCTCCCCTACTTCGCCGTGGATTCATTGGTCGTCATGCTGAGCAGATTGGTGTACGGTGATTTGAGCAAGTACGGGATCACCAGGCCGGAGGAGGGTCCGTTCTCCCGGAAAGTGAAGTACGGCAAGTATCCAATCATCGACGTCGGAACCGCCAAGAAGATCAAGTCCGGCGAGATTCAGGTAATTCGAGTACTACTGTTCACACTTGGTTCCCTTTTGACGGGATAAACAAGCATCCATCCGTACGTCTTTTTGTTTTATTTGCCTGTCTGTTGCATGGCAAGGCGAAGCAGCCGACCGACATGCTTTAGAGCTCTCGAGTTAGACGGTAGATTTAAGTTAAAGCTATCGAGTCAGGACTCAGACTCAGGAGCGGAATTTCTTTCCTTCCAGATGAAAACTTTAATAATCTGGCCTAGCTCTCTGCCCAGTTCTGTCCTTAGGCTGCAAGGATTGATCGAACCTGGCCACAAAAAGCCAGGCTGAGCCATTCAGTCTGTGAGTCTTAATATTCCTCGAAGCTCACACACTTTTCATCGTCGTTCCCTCTGTCTCTGTATGGCTCTCTCTCTCTCTCTCTCTCTCTCTCTCCCCTTTCTTCTTTTGTGCAAGTCAGAGGGTTTTCAGCTGCAAAAGCAAAATGTGTTTTTTTGTTGAATCACTTCCCGTGTCTTCCGTTATCATTTGGTAGGGCAACTTTTGTGTTTATTAGAGTCAATTCTAAGCTACGTGCTTTTCAACTTTTTCATATAAGCTCACTCAATGGATGGATTTGGAGTTGGGGGCCCAGAAGACCCAAAGCCCAATGGGTCTGCAGAAAAAGGATGGATTTGAAGCCATGACTTTTGGCCATCCTTCGTCTTTGCCCATTGACCTGTGAATTGGATTTGACTGCTCCGATGGAGAGACTAACAGTCTAACACTCTAACAGCATATACTTGTTTGATTTTGGGCCCATTTATTTACGTAGGAGATAGGGCCCACTAGAGGGTGGCCCAAGCCCGGGGAAAGTGAGGCCCAATATGTGTCTTTCGTTTTCCTTTTTCCGACTGATTGAATTCCATCCTCCCATCTCATGATGTAACAGGTTTTGCCTTCAATAGCAAGCATGAAGGGTGACGAGATGGTCTTCATTAATGGAAGGTCATACCAGTTCGACGCCATAGTGTTCGCCACAGGGTTTAAAAGATCTACAAACAAATGGCTCAAGGTACGTAACTGGACCACATCTCATGCTTACTTATCATGTCGGAATGTCTCAAATTCTCAATGTCCTGAAACTATAGCACCTTCGATGATGTTTCGAAAAACACGTGGTAATCATTATGGTGGCGTTTGGCAACTCTTTCGGGATAAAAAATATTTTTCGGAAAAATACACACAGGCCTAATACAGATTTCTAAATTTCATTGCAGATCTATAAACATTTAAAATGTCAAATACCCCCATTCTATACATCAATGCTTGTCCATGAATTAGCATCAATTCCGAGCTGATACCTGCCCCAATTGTACTTTGGGCCTAAAAATTCTGACCCTGGGTTGAACTGTCATTCTCCCTAGATTTTTCAACCGTCTAATACATGCACTGACCTTTTGAGGTCTTGTTTTTTAAGACCAAGATTTTTTTCAAGGGTCTTGATCTACTGGCAACTGAAGAGGTTATTTTCAGTGCGAAAAGAAAAGTTTCATTTGAAATTTCCTGAAGGCAGCCGGAAACCCATGCCAAAGGCAGCTATGTGAAGATGGGTTTGGGGTTGAGATACCAATTCCAATTCTAAAGTCAACAGCTTCTTTAGTACGTTTACACTTGAAACGGCCTGGGATCTTTCAGGTTGGGCTCTAAAAACATGGAATTGGAGACATAATTCCACTAATTTTCGATTTCACTCTGCTAGGAAACTGGATCTGGAAAGTCCAAATCCACCCTCAATTCCAAATCCTCATAGTCATAGATAGGGGTGTCCACAGTTTGGTTAACCGAATCATGGACCCTTTTTGCAAATTAAGTTAGTTCTATCGGTTTTTTAATTTCTCTAAACTGAAACCAAATTGATACCATCAGTTAATCAATCCATCGGTTTTGGTTTTTGACTGATTCAGTTCTTCGGTTTTTCGGTTTTTTATATTCATAATATGTATTATATCAATATATGTATAATATTATATTATAAATAATAAATGATATATAATATATTATAAATATTACAAAAATATATATGTATAAATAAATTATTATAAATATAATATATGCATATATTTTATATATATAATATATAAAAAATATGTGGCATATATTTATAATATATATAAAATATACATGTAAATATAAATATCGATCAGTTCGATTAACTGTTTAAAAAACGAACCAATCTTTCAGTTTTTCAAAAATACCAAACCAAAACCAAACTTATCGATTTAATTAATCGCATTTTCCAATTCAATTTTCTGTTTTTCATCGACACCCGTACTCATATAGGCTCAGCGGTAAATAACTGATAGGGATCTGGTACCAATAAAACACTCCCACAAAGCCCCTGCAACTGCTCCTTGGTAACATTTCCCTTGTCGTTTATAGGGAGATGTTCCCGATATAAACTGAAATCACTAGTTGGTATGCTTCTGGAATGTGTTGGTAGTTGATTCGAACACAATAGATAAGAGGAATTGGAATTTCCTACCAATAAGACGCATGCAACACCCTACCAATTTGATCTGACATCTCACGGCCACCATAACCTGTCATGCATGAGATGAATGGTATCAAATGACGCTGGAACATATTTTATTGACAGGTGATCGAGACTCAGATAACAGTTAAACACATGCCTCTGATTGGCTTGGTACACGTTTTCTGATTGGCTTGCCATTAGTGAACACACATGGTTTACAGTGGCCATATTCGCCTTGTATGGGCAATGTCATTTATTTTTGGAATTCCGTGGCAGAAATGGAGTGAAATTCTAGATTCCCTGTCCTTTTGCATGATGAAGCTCCATTAATAACTGTACCAAAGTCCCATTCTTGCGCGCCATGTGAAACACTCTAATCTAGTCGAAGAAAATAAATACCGACAGGCTCAATGTAGATTTCTGACTTTTACTAGAGGTCACAAATTCCCATTTTATATATCAATGCTCACTCGTGAATTAACATCAATTCCGAGTTGGCATCCACCTCAACTGTACTTCAGGTCTATAAATTCTGACCCTGAGCTGATCGATCATTCTCCCAAATAAAATCCTTTTATTTTCCACAAAATAGAACCCACCTTATCCCATATAATATCATGACCAACTATTAAATAGTTAGAATCTAGATTTCCTCCTCACATAATGGTCTTCACACCTAAGGTTCAAAATATCGACGTGTTTCGTTCTGGGACCCCTCTGATACACCCCTACAGTGAATGTATCGGGAGTCTGACCAATTCAGGGGATGGAGGAGCTCTAAACCGGCCCCCCTAAACCAGTTTAAAAGAAAAAATAAAAAAAATGTATTGATTCATCCAATATATCCCTACTGACGTATTAAAAGTATCAATATTTTGAACCTTGTTCACACCCATCTCACAGACTCCGCACTTGCAGCTGTGCATTGGAAAAGTCTTAATGAAAGAGAATAGTATGGGAGTGCGATTGTAAAATGCTGTGGGTGTGAAGAAGAAATCCAAATCCAAAAAGTTACTTAACCATGTGCTCGGTGGCATTATTATATTGTTTTTACGAAAAACAAAAAAGCAGAAAGGATCCTTCTGCCTTAACTTCCGCTCTTTCCTCGAAGGATCTTAGGAGTCAGGCTGGTAGAGAATAGGCCCCAAAAAGGCCATAACCCATGTTACTACAGTAAGTCATAAGAATATCTGAAACAGAGAAGTACTGCTTTTGCCATTTATTGCTATTGCTGGAAGGAGGAATTCCCACTCCTTCTGGAAAGGATCCGAGGGTTCATTTTTTTTTTATTATTAATTTCTTTGGGCTTCGAGTACGTGTAGGCCCATTTAATTAAGAAGAAGTTTGGTGTTGTGTTCCCATTTTGATTCCTGCTTCACCCAGTAGAAGGACGCGTAGGCCCATGTAATTAAGAAGATGTTTGGTAGCATAGAGTGTTGTCTTCCCACTCTTCATTTTCGTTCCGGCTAAGTATCATGTAGCAGAATACGTGTACACCCACATGTTTGGTACCAGTAGTGTCGTGTTCCTGTTTCGATCAAACCGGATTTTCTGTCCAATATTCTCTTCTCACATTCTAGTTGGCATGAATTGCAGCAACTTATACCCATCTTTAGGGCTCTTTTAGTGCATCTTTCCACACAGGTTTTGGGTTGTTTATTAGCTGTAAAGATTGATTTTCGGTCTATTTCCATTTGATGTACGGAAGATCTAGTCACTAAAAGATAGAATACTGAAAAGACGTGAAAAATTCATTTTGGGCTGATTTCAGGAAGTTCTAAATGAAGCTTCTAGCATTTTAATCTTGCACGAAAAGATGTGGAAGAACGTGCATCTGCCAAACGTGCTTCGGGCTGTTCAGATCTTCATGCAAAAGCTCAATGTGTCTTTTGCATGTTAGAGCTATCAAAAAATCTTCTCAAAAAGACATGTCAAATGGGCCCTAAAGTATGATATGTGTGGCTGTAATTCACGTTAGGTAGAAAAAGTGAATAGGAAATCTGGGTTCCATTTTGATTCTTGCTAAGTATCGTCTACTAGAACACAGGCCCATCTAATTAATATGTATGGTAGCATACTGTTGTATTCCCATCTTTATTCTTGCTACGGCTGTGTTTGGTTGCAACGCAAATAAATTTGCATTGATGCAAAACTATAGCAATGCAAATGAATTGAGTGTAGATTCTAACCTATTTTTGTTTCAAATTTTAGTTTATTTTGTTTGATTGCAATACAAATGAAGTAAATTAAGTCATGAATCAGAATAAAGTAAAATCCAAACCAAAATTAAACAAGAATTTGCATTCCCATGCATTTGTACTAGTGCAAATATGTTAACACTGTGACCAAACACAGCCTAAGTATCACATAGTAGAAGGATGCCTACACCCATCTAATTAGGAAGACGTTTGGCACCAGTAGTTAGACAATTTAGACTTGGCAAAAAGTTGACCCAACCCGCAAACCCAACTCAATTCAACCCGAAAACAGGGTTAGGGTCTCATATTTAGCTACCTGAATGTAAGAATGACCCGATCTGACCCAATCTGAAAAAAACTGGGTTGGGATGGGTTTGATCATGGGTCAACCCACTGACCTGATTATCAAGTCTAATTGGGACTATTTATGCATTGTTAGAAGTTTCCACTCTTTAATTTTTTCTATTTGGTCTTTACTCTTTAAATTGTTAAATGATTTGGAATTTTAAGATTAATTCCTTTAATTTTGGTATTTTTAATGTAGTTTTTCTTTATTTTTTTTAAAATTCAGTTATTTTTTGGAATGACCCAAATTGACACATTGGTCAACCCTAACCCATACATTTAGGGTTAGGGTCTAGCATTTGATAACCCGACCGAAATCAACCCAAGTATCTTGACTCAACCCGAACCCAACCCACCAACCCAATTGCCTGGTCTACCAGTAGTGTTCCCATTTTGATTTTTGCTAAGTATCGCCTAGCAGGACACGTAGGCCTATCTAACTAGGAAGATGTTTGTCAATATAGTGTTGTGTTGCCATTTTGATTCTTGCTAAGTATCATATGGGTGATTTGATGTTAGCGTCCAAACGTATCTTGCTAGATAGATTTTGCCTCTGACATGTAGATGTATTGGAAGAAACATCAAAACATAATGCTCTTCGGAGATGTTTGGGATTGATACTGATTCCTCTTATGACATTTTTCAAAAATCAATGATTTCTCAGAAATCAGAGAATTTGCTTGTTTGATACCATTGTCATTATGTCAATTGATTTCTTAGAAATTGGTTATGAATTTATTTAGTAGTGATTATAGTGAATTTTGTGTTTATGAAACCATTTCCCTTATTTATATCAGATGCCACAATATCAAAGAATAATTTGAATCACCTGAAAAGAGGAATCATCATTATCTCTTTTCAACCTGATTTTAATAATTGATTTTTGACTAATTTGTCAATTTCTCAAAAACCGACCAACAAAACAGCAAAATAATCGGCAATTTTGGAATTGCTAATGTGGTGCCAATTTTTAAAGAATCAGCATCCATCCCAAACACTACCTTAGTCATATGCTTCAATCACCATGGCTAAGGGAATGTTTGTCGATGTGTGTGATTTTATTTTCAAAAACAAAACAATTACCATATCAGCAAAATTATATTGTTTTTAACTCATTATGTTTTACTGTTAAGGACGATTACCTCCTCAACGAAGATGGGCTTCCGAAACCAAGCTTTCCTAACCATTGGAAAGGAAGAAAGGGTCTCTATTGTGCTGGACTAGCAAGGAGAGGATTGTATGGAGCTGCCATAGACGCCCAAAATATAGCTAATGATATAAAATCCCTCTTATAAATACCAACTCTGTTGATGCTTAAGTAAAGAAAATAAGACAGTGGTGCTGTTTGTGCTGGGAGAATATATATGAAATGTGTTATTGAATAGGGTTGTCCAGGTATAACCAATTAGTTTGTGCCTGACGAGCCATTTCAAAAGAGCTAGCCTTTGGTTTTGAGGCTATTTGATTAAATAAATGCATTATGAGTTAGTTCGATATATATATATTTGAGATACTTAAAAGCTTAAATGTTAAATCCGAATCTCTGATCCAATGTGATGGAACCATTCTTTTAATTGAACAAAATCTTGGTGTATCTATTTTGGAACCGTTATGTAATGTGGTTTTGAGGATGAATATGCAGATTCTTTTATCCTTTTGTGTGGTACATTCTCCCTGAGTGAAAAGTGAGAAGTGAGAACACGGGGTCTAATATGGACAAACCAGTCTAAGGGTCTCTGTTCGGTTTATGGTTGAAATCGGAATTGGAATGATTTATTCTTCTTACTTATTTGGTTTAGACTGAAATTAAAATTGGAATCAGAATTGGTTGCAACGGATTATTATTCTTAGGGAAAGGGAGGGAATGGCCATTCTTTTTAATGGAAAAATGCAATTCTATCAGGAATGAAAATGGGATTCCGATTTTGCCATTAAAATCGGAATGGACCATTTTAATTCCAATTCTACATCGTTATTCCCACAAATCAAACAGACTCTAATATTGACATAGCTGAGTTTGTCCAAGTGAGAAAAATTTGGATTTCCATGTTTGACAGCCCCATGCTGTTTACAGGGTTCTTCCTGCGTTACACGTTAGTCTTCAATCTTCATAAACAGAGTTTATCTTCACCCCTTTGATAAATCGAACATTCCATGGACCGAGTCCGAATCTGGTAACCACAAAATTCTACGGCCACACATTAAGAATGTTGTAACTTATAGAGAGATATTCCCTCCGATGTGCGGCTTAGTGTCTTATGGCTAGGATATAGCCAATGTTTTATGGTCAGCAGATCCGACCATGGACACATATATGGGTGGGTTGAACATCAGCCTTGTTAAAATACTGGTTACGTGCATATCACTGGCCCATGCCAGTTTTGGGCTTTCAGGCCTAAAATTTCCAGCCTAGTAGGCCACTGCACCATTGGCCCATGTACAAAGCCTATTCGAGAATTCATGGAGAGAGAGAGAGAGTAAAATCCCTATTTGGTTCATCTTTTGTGATTTATTTAGCACCAAGGACTAAATTACCAGTGTTGAGTATCGTATTGAACAAATTGGATGTAGATATGGATACACTTTGGAAACGTATGGATATGAACGGAAAATATGAAAACTTTTGGATACACTAGCTAGGGAAACACACGTAAATTTTATAAATACATTAATAATACTAAATTTAAGGTCAAATACCCATTAATAATGGATAAATCTATAAGAAATATATATTTAATGGTGTATATAAAAAAATACATTATAATTAATATAGCGAAATGCATAGATATCATACAATGCATTAATTAAGAGTCCAAGATGGACCTATTATATTTATCCTAATTATTATATCGATTATTTTCTATTTTATTACTTTTAATTTTTAACATTAACAAAAAAGTTAACCAAATATTAAATTCTAAAATATAAATTAATTTATCATTTAATAGTTTCTAAAAATATGTAATTTTAAAACAAAATATATCAAATCTAGTAAAATTCTAAGATATATATCATTTTCAAATTCATGAATTTTAATTATTAAAATAGTTATTTTATTATTAAATTTTTTATTTCTATGTTTTTTTGAAATTAAAAATATTTTTTCATATAAATGTAAATTAGTGGATTTGATAGATTTAATATTTTTGAATAGTTTTTAAACAATTTTTTTTTATTTTTTGTAAATAATAAATATATTGTTATTTAATGTAAATTAAAATATTAATTAATAATTATAAAATGTATAAAAATTACAACATATCTATCATGCACAAATTTATAAATAAATACTAAGATAATTATTCTATTATTAATATTTTATCTATATAAATTTTTTGAGATTAAAATTATATTTTGACATAAATATAGAATTGATGGATTATTTATCCGATTTGTTTATAAAATGCTGATTTTAGATATTATTTATTTTAAATTTTAGTTAGAGTTGTTAAATATAAATATTGATTATTTGTTTGGATGGATGCAAAAGTTAATAAAAATCATTTTATTTCATTAAATTTTATAAGACATGAGATGGCTTAGTAGTTTGAAGGTTTGTAAAGAAATTCAGTGGCATGCCTGTGTTAGGTGATTTGGGTTCGAATAGGGGGGAGAATAAAGAATTGTTTTATTACAAAAGAGTAGTGATAGATTTTAATAGAGAAAATATATGTGAGGGCTAAAAGAGTTTCAAGATATTTAATAGGGAATAAGGGGTACAATGGGGGAAGGGGAGAAGGGAGATATTATAGGATATCACAAAAATTGATTTGGATTCGAATCAAATAACGATGTTGGATATCTGAATCTGAACCGATCCAATTTATTTTAAAAAATTAATAAATTATTAAAAAAGGAAATATAATAGTCTAAATAACAAAAAATAAAAAATAAAGTATTTTTTTCAATTATTTTCGTCATATATATACATGTTTTTTTATAAAAAATAAATAATATATAATCGGATCGGATTAGAGAAAATTGAGACATAAGAGGGTTTTTATGAGGAGACATGTTTGTACATTAAGATTTATTAGATTTTAAGATAGGACACTAAGATAGTTAATTTAGAAGTTTTACTTTTATTTGGTGAATTCTTTGATGAATTCTGCATCGTGTGTATCCGTACTTGTCTGGATTTGATTAGGATAATGCCAACTCTAATCATGAACCTAGCTTGGATCCAAAGTTCCAAATTAATGTCAAAATTCAAAATTACCCAACACATGGGGTGAAACAATCTTCTTCGTTTTGAAAAGAGTGCAAATGCAGATATGTCTGGTTCACGTAAATGCAAAATTTAAGCGGGTTATATCAGCCATTTACAACACTGTCATTTGGTTGGAAGGGAGCAAACTAACGCTACAAGTTTGTTGGCATTTGGGAGAATTATTACCTTACAAACCTAAGGCAGGGTCCCCAATGAGTTCAAATCAGCCCCCCAGAAGACTGCTCCCCACAACATCCCACACCACATTCCCACCGTGTATTGGGAATATCTCCTGATGATGACATCAGCATTCTAGATATTATCATTGGGAGATGTTCCCAATACAAGGCGGGGATGTGGTGTGGGACGTTGTGAGAGGCAGTCTTGTG